GAGTAAATACACTGGAAGAACAATGAATTGATCAATTGACAAGCATTAATTTTGGGAGCTATTCATTTAAGAGTTGTTTGATAATCCGATCAATCGACATAGATTGTAAATGTCCTGAATCTTCATTTCTTCCTTACAGCTCAAGTCATATTCTGAATAATTGATGATTTTGTCAGTTATTGAACTTTTCCAATAGTGATTCTGAATTCCGATATTCTATCGGCATACTGAATAACTGTGTTTCTCTGCCTGATACAATACCTCTAAATAATACCTGTAAACTCTGGTGTGTTCCCTAATTATATAAATATTTTATCTGATTTCCGAATTGAATTCTGTTCTGATACGTTACCTGAATTCTGTTCTGATTCTGATCTGGATTCTGTTATGATATCTGATATGAATTCTGTTTTGATTTCTGATATCTCCGTTTACCGACGGAGAAATGTTTTATCTGGGGGGTTTATTGTTGGAGGAAGATTACTGCAGGCTCCTCAACTGTGTGCTCAGGGCCTTACTGTTACTGGTTGTGCGGGGTGTATGGTTCCGGGGAACCTACACAAACAGATTGTGAAAGGATGGGGGTGTATATATATATATGCTAAAAAAATATGTATCTTTTTACTGGTTTTATGGAAACACACTAGATAACCTATTCTGATATCCTGAACTCAATCATCCGAAATATTTGTCTGAACTGAAAGCTCATTGTCCGTTACCATCCGAAATATCAGTAGAATCTCTGCTCAGCATAAAAATCTATAAATGTTCGGAAATAATAAGGATATGTATGTTTATCTGTATCTGCACGTTCTTCAACATTATCTGGTAGTTCTGTATTATTGAGCTTTTCAAAGCTCACTCTATTACTCACATTTTCAGGTTAAAAGAATTGTACCAGTGCATCTATCGACTTCAGTAAGGGAGTTTTTCCGGCGTTGTTGCAGAGTATGGTACATGTGATTAGGGGCATGTAATTGTATTTTGATTTATATACGAGTCTGGAAATCTGTTTTATTTTTAAATAGTGACAACTGATTTTATTAGTTTATATGTAATTTAAAAAGTTTTAAATTTTTCACTATTTTTTTACAGTGGGTCGCTCCGGTGGCCCAAATGTGACACCCCTGATCGGATCTGGTTACCCTTATCGATCTGTGGGGATTACACTCTTAATTATTTGACATTGAACGTTCATATTCCTGCATACATGGTACTCAATTTCGAGACATCAATTAATAATAATAATTTTTTAATCACTAAAGTTGTTTTGTTCGTACACCGAAATTGATTCTAAATTTAAATTAGATGTATGAAACCACCCCTGTGGCCCTACGTACACTCTAACAATCGAAGTAGGTGTCCTTCCATCCGAACTTAACCACCCTATGACATTAACCTCTCTTTGATAAAAACTTTATATCCTTTGATTTTGAAGTTATCCACAAAATTGTGAAAAGTAAGAATTATTATACCTATTTTTATATACCCTTGGATGCCTTGCTTGGAGATTTGCTTTTCGTTTTCCTAACCTTTGACATTTCTAGTTTTTCCTAACCTCGAGGGTTTTGTTAGCAAAAGTTGATGGATTTTACCTTCTTTGATTCTTTTTCTCTGCCTAACTTGCTTTTTTTATCCATCTAACTCATAATTTAGTAGGTGATATGCCTCTTCTTCCTTCATTATGAGTAGCTATTTGCTTCTTTGGTTTAGAATTCCTTTTGTTTTGTTGGATTTGTTTGCATTACATAATGATTTTTTTATTGCTCTTTCAAGTTAGATTATGTAACATTATTTAGGATTAATCCTTCTGTTTTGTCCATGTTTCTTTTATTCTTTTACTGTTAGAATCATATATAAGATATTGCATATTTAAATTAATTTTAATATGATTATATATTTATATTTTGTTAGTATTATCTTATAAAATTAAAATGATTCGGATTTAAAATAGTATATATTAATAAAATTAGAATGGATATAAAATAATATCTGAATACTTTAATAATTTACGATCGATTTCTACAATTATTAATATATATATTGCGAGAAACTTTCATGACTAAGAATGTCAGAGGAGCACGGCTGGCGTATTTTGAATACAGTTGTCTTATATCCCATCTCTAAAAATAAAATATCGTTTTACATGCGTATAAATATTATTATTATTTTGTCATTTAATTATGATAAATCTAGGATGAATATTATTATATTTTATTAAGCGATTTTAGTATCGAGTGGCCTTAGTTATTAATGAAGTATTATTCTTCTTAAAAAATTTGAGTTCGAGTGATTATGTCTATAAGATATGTATACGTTGTCAATGGTTATTTTTTTTAAAATAAACACTATTATAATTACTTCAAACAATGTCTACATGATATATATATTTTTAATGATTAAGAAAAACTATAAATAAGTAATCATCCCAAAATATTTAAAATATAAATAAAAGAAATAAAAGAAATTATAAGTTATAAAGAGAAATAAATCATCATAATCTTTTATTTTTTTTAAGAAAAAACTTGTTTTACTTTTACTTGTATATAATATATGTGGTTATCTATTAAAAAAATTAATATATGTGGCAATATATCTAGCTGTCTATTTCTAAAAAAAAGGTTTTAAATCATTTATCTTTATGTTTTTATTCTTTGTTGATAAACAACATCATCAGATTTTGTGTTGATTGTTATCGTCAATATTTCTTATTTTCCTTTAAATTTTATATTGTTTTTCTTTTTCTTTCATTTTTAATAATTATACTTTTGATACATTTCTCTATATTTATATTTTTATGTCACGTTTTCAATAATTTGATTGTTGTTTTAGTTTATCTTTTTTAGGGTTGGAGTTGATATCGCCACAACTGATCAAAACGACACTCATTTGTTATCATGCTGTTCTTTCTTGCTTTGAATCATTGGATTGAATTTGGATACGTGGTTTGCGTTCGATGATCTTTCAGTAGTTTTATCTCCTTTTGTGATTCATTTGCCGATGTGACGATATCTATTGACATCTATCTTTTATTTGAGTTTTTTTATTAGTTGTTAACATTTTCCTTGAATGATACTTGTGTGATCTTAAGTGGCTACTTTTTGTGTTAATAGTTATAAGAAAATATTCTAATTATATGTTTAGTTTATATTTATGATTATAAACATTCATTATAATCTACGTTTAGTTTACATTTACGGTTATAAAGAGAACTTGTTGAATGATTTCAGTGGTTAAAAGGGATACTAATTTTTTTTAAGGTTATGGAACAATTACGTTTTTTAGGCATATATATATATTATCGATAGTTAATTTTTTTTAAACAAATATTACCTTATAATCAATCAATACTATTAAAAAAAAGAACAAGCATTTTTCATAAAATTAAAACCATCTCAAACTTGCATTTAAAAAATTCCGTCGTGGACCAATGCTAACTTCTTTTAAGGCAAAAATCTATGGACAGTGGAATCCATAGAGGCAAGAGCAGCCATGACTACTGGATTTAACATTGTCAAATCATATACTCCCCAAATTCAAATTTTAGAGTGAATAGATAATAACAATATAAACAAAATATCAATAAAACGATCAAACTATACTGATTAAAATTCATTTTTATTTCCACATATTATTATAAAAATATAGTGTGACATTTGAATATTGATTTTTCTCTTCCTTTTGTAGAACAGGAGATCATTTCATTTGGTAGTGGAGACTTCCTTTCCCTTATAATGGGTGCTTCATTCCATCATTTACTTTGCACTTTTGGACACCACGCATTGCATTGCATTCTACAAAATTCCACAACAACATTCTCACTCCCTATGCCTTGGGGTCCAGCAACTTCCACGTTTTACTCATGATTTATATACGAATCACATATATAATAAATAAATTAATAAATAAATCTTTATTATTTATTATAATAAGAAGATTAGTCTATATTAAAATGATCCAATACGATTAATGCCAATTAAATTTTAATAACTAAATAAAGACTTAATGGTTTAAAAATCTCTGAACTTTTAAATAAATTCTACTAAACGTTTGAATCTTTTTATATTCAATTAAATTGTTAAACGTAAAAAATTAATCAACGTGATCCTTTGGCCTACGAAAATAGTCGTTCACACGTGGATTGACATATCAACATATTTGTATTGCCATTTCAGTATTGTGGATTGTCACGTCATAACTATAATGATCAACGACAATTTTCATCGGTCAAAGGGTCACATTGATTAAGTTTTTGAGTTTAAGGACTCAATTGAATACAAAACATAATCAGGGGTTTAATGAAACTTTTTCAAAAATTTAGGGGCTTTTTGAACACTTAAGTCTTAAATAAAATATAAGTCACGTATTTATAGACATCCAAAATAATTAATTTCTAATTGATGATAGGACGATTAGAAATTAAAGTTAATGTACTAGGTTATTTATTAGGGTTATGATTTCCAATTACACATAAATTAACTTTTCGGATATCTCGTCTTTAAAATAATAAAAATAGACATTTTCTCTAAAATACTTATAATTTATAACATCAAGATTTAAAAATGTTAATTTAACAATGAATTCAAATATAATTTTACATTTGATTTATCATTATATTTTAAATTTTATATCATATTTGTTACCTACTAAATCAAGGCATTGAAAAATATACTGAAAAATGAAGCAGGAAATTCAGCTTATGGCACCATTGATATCTACCCTTTAAAAGCAAGCACATATTCAAGTCTTTACAATCTCTTCTCTCCCACTCTTTTTCCCTTTTGACAGTCAAAGGTCCTTGCAAGCATATGATACAAAGCTGAAGTTTCAATCTTTTTGAGTCCATCTCTCTCCACCTACACAATGGACTGGGTTTTCCATCAAAGAAATTTAGTCCAATATCTTTCTCCAACAGAACAGCCATATCACCTCCCTCAATCACCAATACTGTCTCCACCATCACTGTCTCCACCATCACAAAGCTTGCAATCTGATTCTGAACTTCCGGTTTGAACAAGGTTAGTCCAACTGTATTACTCATCATCATAATCCTAGCCATCATTTTCTTTGTTTCCGGTTTGATTCACCTGGCGGTTAGATTTTTGTTGAGACCTTCCAATAGAGAGCCACATAATTCAGACAATGTGACCGCCCTCCAAGGTCAGTTGCAGCAACTATTCCATCTCCATGATGCCGGTGTCGACCAATCTTTAATAGATACCCTCCCAGTTTTCCACTACAAATCCATCATAGGTGTTAAGAACCCTTTTGATTGTGCGGTTTGCTTGTGTGAATTCGAGACCGAAGATAAGCTTAGATTGTTGCCGAATTGCAGCCATGCCTTCCACATGGAGTGTATTGACACTTGGCTTTTGTCCCATTCCACCTGCCCTTTGTGTAGATCTATTTTACTCCCTGATTTCTGTTCACCTTCACCCCTTGTTTATGCTCTTGAATCTGGGAGTCACAGTTCAAGAGAGACTGAGATTGTCAGTGAAAGTGTTCTAGGAAGAAGCAGTTCAGTTCTGAGATCAAATTCCAATCTGGGTCTTTCTGGAGACACCGAATCATGTGAAATCCTGGAAAAAGATGAAGCCAACGAACCAGCAGTCATGGTGGATTCTGGGGAAACAGTTGTGCCTGTTAAGCTAGGGAAGCTTAGAAATATTGACGGCCTTGAAGGTTGCAGTAGTAATAACAATAATGTCGATTCCAGGAGGTGTTTCTCGATGGGGTCTTTTGAGTACGTAATGGATGAGAATTCTTTCTTACGAGTACCAATAAGGACCCCGTTGAAGAAACCATCGAGGAAGAAGACTTGTTTGCCATTAACAGCTGGTCACCACCCGGCCATGTCCGAATGCGATTGTGAATCAAGAAGAGGGTTCAATGGTTTTGAAACTACGGCCACCACCAGCACTGACAACGATGGCAAGTCTATTGGTAAGACCAACAAAGAAAGCTTCTCGATATCGAAAATTTGGCTTCGGGGGAAGAAAGACAGGCGGAGTTGTAGCGTTGGTTCATCGAGGAGGGCGTTTTCATTTCGATGCCCGCAGCATGAGAATAGGATGAAGGTGAAGGATGGAGAAAGTGATGAAGAAAACCAGAGGTGCCATAGCTTAGATTCACAAGCCAAAACGCCATCTTTTGCAAGGAGAACTCTGGCTTGGCTAGCTGGGAGACAAAACAAGGTTGTTCACTCATCTTCTACCCCCGAACATGTAGAGCTTTGATTCCTTCATTTGGAATGCAAAATTGCATAATCCTGTTGTAGGAAAAAGAAAGAAAAAAAAAGGAGAGGGTTCCTTTAATTTGATCAATTCGTCATAGTTTATCTGCTTTCTTTTACATTCTTACGTAACACGAATAGACTTTTTCAAAGCAACAGTGTAATTGGACCGACATTTTCTTTTGTGTGGGTCGGTTCATCATAGTGTTTCATTAGTTATCTGTTGAGGATGAGTCGCTTTAAATTTTATATTAATATTAGTTTGTCTTAATGCAGAAAAAATGTTCAAACCATATTTATTTTTCTATTTAAATGCTTAAATTATTTTTTTAAAATCAATATTTAACGTTATAAATATTATTATTTTAAATGTCACTGTCATAATTGTTAAAAATTTTCATTAAATGAGACATGTTTTGTATTTATATAGTTTTAAAATTTTTATTTAAAATAGAAAAGTTAAAATTATATATTTTAAAAAAAGTCCAAAAGTTTCTCAAGTCTTACAAAATATCTAAAAACTTTGAAAATCTTAATTCTAATCCTTATTTTCACTGTTATCGTTAATCAAGCCTACACCAGAACTTCCACCCGACGAACAACCAAACCTGACAACCTAGAACCCAAAAAACTTGATGAATAGCCGACATACCAAACCTTGAAAAATCTGATACTCCGACGACCCAACGACGTGTGTAAAGGATAAGGTGACGATGGCCGACAAGAGAGATGTTAAGGGTGGTAGAGACGACGACGGTCGTGACTGGCAATAATGATGATAAGGTCAGGGTAAGTGATTTTTGGTTAATTTTGAGAGTTTTTAGGGATTTTTAGAGAAATTAAGGTTTTTAAATATAACAATAATTTTAATTTTTTAAAAAATAAAATTTCAAAATACTTGAATGCGTGCGTCAAGTGTCACATAATGGATTTTTTTCATTACAGTCGAAATAGTTAAAATAATAATATCTATAATATTAGACACCTAATGAAAAATTTAAACACCTAAATTAAAAAAGAAATGATAATTTGAGTTTTTTTATTAAGCCTATTAGTTTTTATGATGGTAATAAATTAGATTTGGACATAGGTTGTTGGATGTCAATTTTAGGTCAACCTCAAAAACAGGAAGAGGGGTTATGAAGAAGGGACAGTTTCTTCACGAGTGTTGTACTAGTGTCGGACATGTATCTAAACTGAACACCCAGCTTCCATATGGGAATGGCAGTAGACATGCATCTGATATGACTTTGACAAAGGGTAATGGGTGTTGGACATGTCAGAACATGTTAACAAAAAATACAGTCAAAGTAAAATGTTCAAACTGAATTTTTATATTATTATTATTCTAAAGATCATAAGACTATTCTTGTAAAGATAATAAAAGAGGAATACTTAGGGAAATATATTTTTGTTTTGTCTCCTTTTTTTTAGTGTATCATATTTTCAATTCTGTATAATATTTATATAAAATAGTTTACATCTTATCACGTAGAAGTAAATCACATCTTTCAGATATGTTGGATCAATAATTTTAGCCAAACATATTCTCAGCTTGTCTCGTGTATAATAATTATTTATATGTGATTCGTATTGGCATCGAATTATGTTTGAAGATCTTAAATGTAATAATATTGCAGTACTTATATAATAATTTTGGAGCAACAAAGATAAAATGCTTCTAGACCAGTTAAGATGTTGCGTTGCGGGACTAATGATTTCTTTCTCTTCTTTGAAGGCATACATTATATTTATTTACATTTTAACAATCTTGCAATCATCGGGATACTTAACAAATATATTTTATTTCTATCAAATTTGTTTAAGATTCTTTTAGCACATCTCTATTTATAAACAAAAGCTCATATTTAAGTGTTGAACATGTAAGTTTTAGTATGTTTCATAATTTTTAATTAACTTTTAATAAGTTATCATATTTTTTTAAAAAAAAACAGTAATATGGGGAAATATTCATTTATCGGAAATCGTATCAACAACATCTTGCCAATTACAGATTGAACAAACACAATCCGGACTATCATAAAATTTTACAATGATCGCCTAGTGATAGTTTGATAAGTAAAAGTATCAACAAAAGAAGCAACGACGTATATAAACTGATTACACCAACGGCTCCGAGAACCGACAATGGAAGAGAAAAACTTGAAGAAGATCCAAAACGAAAACGGAGAAGGCGATCTCCCCTGAAAGGCAATCGCATACATGGAAGCATGTTGAAATACAGATCAAGAAGAAAAACCAAGAAATAAACCTGCATCGGAAGTCCACAAACATCGGTAGCCATGTTACCCTTTACTAGAAAAATGGCTAAGAGAAAACATTAATATTAAACTATGATAAAACTAAAATTAAAAACTAATAAAAGTAAAAGGAAATAACGAAAAAAATAGAACAAAAGGGCAGAGAGATGGCCTTGAAAGACCACTACCACTGCCCCAAAGATCCCATTGTTTTGCTTGTAACTCCTGAACTGCCTCAAAGAATTTTTGGGAACTTTGATTATATATCCCAATTTCAAGTTTTAATAAGTTATAGTATTTGTATATTATCTCTAGATATTTTTTGTTTTGTATAAATAATAAATTATTTCATTATAGTTTCTTTTAAAAAGCATAATTATTTATATCATTAAGTAGTTTTCATTTATTTGCATTTTTAAGTTATTTGAATTTTCTTAAAAAATATAATTCTAATAGTTTTTTTATTAATTTTTTTGAATTTTCAAATAAATTTAAAAAATATAAACTCCTCTAACGAGAAATTATTATATGAACACAACTCACCACGTCATCCGTGGTCTTAGCCAATAATATTCATCCATTTCGAAATAACTTTCAAACAATTACACATTTTTTATTTACATGTAGAAAAGAAGTGAAGATTCACTTTGAAAAAAATGAGATTGATTGATTTTATTGACTGTAACCACATATGATATGGTGAACCGAGTTCATCTAATAATTTCCCCAGTAATACAATGTTGTGACACGTGACCTAAATGATAAAAATCATTAGAGATAATTGTCAACTTTGATCAAATAACCTATTTGATCTAACTCCCCTATTAAAGAGAATAGTCGAATAAAAAAATAATTAGGATCTTAATTAATTTTTTTGGGGAATAGTTGGAGGACTTTTTCTAATTTAAGTCAAATTATTACAATTTTGTTATTTTCGTGTAATTTCACAAATTATGACTTTCGTAATGTTTTATGTACGTTACTTTCGTAAGTTTTTTCATAAACTATTACCAATTTATAATATTTTATGTAATATTTAACATTATGATAACTTTACTCTTTTGGTCAAAAACTTTTTTTTACTTTTATTTGAAAAACCTACCTTTTAGTCTAAATAATACTCCCAACGAATTTGATCTAAATAAACTTAACATGTCTGGTCCACCTTTTAGCCCAAAGCACACTTCAAATTAGCTGACCCTTTTTTCCGTATGTAATGGGATAAGGGGATGTATGATAGTAGGCTGCTCCCATCGTCAGGTTGAAAGCAACTTTCGTAGGAGACCTCCGAATTATGAAATGTTCTCCGTGAGACTCGATCCCCCACCACAAGGTTAAGAGCCTTGTGCTCTTAGTGGTTTGCAAATTACAAATATAGATATCTGACCACCCATCTAAGCATTTGGAACCATATCAAATTTGTTTTAGTTTTGTTTGATTTTGAAAACTTACGTTTTGATTATCTACGTTATCAATTTATTATATTTTAATTACTTGTGTTATTAGTATTATATTTTGATCTTTAAGTTATTAACTAGTTTGACGATGAGACATATTAGTAAAATGAATTAACTTTAATTTGATTCCTAAATTTTAGATAAAATATTAATTTAACCCGTGAATGTTAGACGAAATATCATTTCGACCTCTAAACTTTATATAAATATCAATTTAACCCCTAAATTCAATCAAAGTCTCCCACCACCAACCACTCACCACTTTCACCGTCGGTCACCGTTGATCGTCATCGACTGCCGTCATCAACGATTATTAGACCCTAAAGTTTTTTTCACTTTTTTTTACTTCCTAAACACAATTTCTAGTAATTAACTTGTCTTAAAGTTGTATTTCTAGTTTTATGGATGTTAAGTTAATAAAGTTTTTTTCATGCTTCAACGTGAGTCATTTATTTGCACTTTATGACGTGTTCTTAACATTGATCTATTTGGTTTCAGCAAGATGTACTTTGGGCTGATTGTCTCTTTTAATAAAACTTTATTATGTTGAGAGAAAATAATTTTCATTCTAATTTGTCAGTTTAGACAAACCAGTAGAGCCTAAATTTTCATTTCCCTTGGTACAATTAAAAATTGAAATTATTAGTAGATACCAGTTTCTCATTTTTTTTAATATGCGTTTCTAACTAGTTCTGAGCGTTATGCAAATGTCTTGATGCAGTAAAATCTTGTTCTTGAAGCATTTGGAAACACAAAATCTGCAAGGACCACAATTCAAGGTGGGAAAATTGCCTTGTTCAAAGAGTTTGTAGTTATTTTGCTAGTCATTGTACCAAAAATGTAAAAAGATTATTAAAAAAGAATTTTCTTTTGTAGTATCATATTGTTTAAATCACTACATTTGATGTTCTTTAACAAGCTTGATACTTTAATTTAGAGAAAATCAAACTGACAAATTTTTTAGCTCTCATATTCATGTCCTGATGATACCTTAAATTATTAGTTTAAGTTATATCCTAAAAACAACATCAAACATACATTGTCTTGGTAATGTTGTACATTACAAAATGGTCAAAATAGTTGTTTATGTGCACTAACTCGCAGCTAGGGATGGGCATGAGACATGAATCCGATTGGGTCGGGTTTGGGTTATGGGTGAAAAAAATCCAACCCGCCCCGATCCGAGAAAAAACATATAATTTTACCTTTATATTTAGAGGTAATTGCAATAATGTCTCTATATATATTTTTTTAAATTAAATCCCTATTTTTATTCAATAAAAATAATATTTTTAATAAATATATTATTTCGGGTAGGGTGGAGGGTGTATATTTTTCGGATCGGA